AAATAATTGGGGTAACAATTCCCTGGAATATGATTTCAGTACACAGTGAGATCCCCAGAGCCACTGCTAATCACCATGTCCTCAGCATCTTATGTATTAATAAACTAAACTTCTTTATTTGGGCCCTTTTCTATCACCCCCTCCTCATCATCACCAAACACATTTTCCTCATGGTTTCATGTCTGGACTAGAAGATTTTGGAACTTAAGTCTGCAGTAGAGAAGCAAGTGTCCCAGGCTAGAGGAAGTGGTGTTTACTCATGGGATCAACTGGCTGCTAGAAATAACAGTAGACTAAAGACTAAATAGTCACTCAAGGTAAATTAAAATTTAGTTATTCTAGAAAATCCAAGTGAGAATTTTTTTAAAAGGCACTATTATTCATTTTAAAGTGTTTAATCACAGATGAGGCAAAAAGTTAACAGGAGGAGAGGCTGGAGGAAGGGGGTGCACAGGTGTTCACTTGACCCTTCTTGCCCCTTTTCTGTAAGTTTAAAATTATTTCCAAATAAAAAGTTATTAAGTGTTTAATCAAAATATATCATATTGTCCTTAAAAAAAAAGAAAAGGAAAAATAAATTTTCAGATCAGAAAATCCTCCACTGATTCAAGTAAGAAGTACACCCCGTGCACCCAAAGCCCGGCTCAAGAAAGGAAAAATAAACTTTCGGATCAGAAAATCCTCCACTGATTCAAGTAAGAAGTACACCCCGTGCACCCAAAGCCCGGCTCCCTGGTGATTGTTACCATTAAGGTGGAGACCACGCAGACACAGACAGAAGGACTTTGGGGATGAGCTTCAGCATCTTGTAAGACTTTTTAAAAAAATTTTTATTACATACCAAATAGAAGTTTAAGGTAATGTGAACAATGCCCTGCAGCACAATTCATTTGTAGTACACTTAAAATCTTAATGAATACTGCATATCCAAACCATTAATATTGAAGTGATCTGTGAGCCTGTTTTGGAATGCTTTATTGCCTCGTGAAGGAAGATCACCAAGCAGGCATTCTCTGACACATTTATAGTGACTCTGGCATTGTTCCTCAAGGAAAGTGAAAAACATTCTAGCTTCTTTTCTTGCAGATCTCTTTGAATGGCCCTTCTTTCATCTAAGCAATGTGTCATTCCCATTTTGAAAGCAGGCAAATAAGATGGTAGTCTACCGTCTCTAAGGCTTTTGTTGAGAGTGTAATTCTAGTATTTCAATGCAGGTGTTCTGAAGTTATTTTAAAAAAACAGCAATCTTCACTTCCAAATCATTACTCCTTTGCAAGTAAAAACTTATCAGCCTTAGTCTCATTTTTTGAGCTAGGCCTCTTAATCAGGCTAGACAGGACTTCCTCGTGCTCTTGTGAAATGCCTTCACAATGAGAATACATTAATTAAATCAAGAAGCTCCTTTCCACTTACCTTCAGGAATTGCTCTAAATATCAAGAGTGATTCATTGATCTGCCTAGAAATTTTATAAGCATTCTCTTGAAATCTGTTTGCTGTATTTTTCAATTCACTCAGTTCCAATGTAATACCTATTTAGAGGGGAGAAAAATGTTTCCTTTTAGGTTAACCCACTATAAAACTGCATAGGCAACAGCTTTCTTTATTACTCCCGACCTATCTACAGAATCAATAGCTTTCTACAAACTCCCAATATTGAAAGTCTTTCCAGCAAGACTTAACATCACTCATTATAGAAATTGGGTTTTTTTAGCTTGCTTGATCATTTTTCGACCTTGCTTGTTGCCTTTCTCACTAATATTTCTTCTTAAACTGTATGTCCAATTTTATAGAGTTCAAGGATGAAGAACTGTGTTTAAATCACTCACTTCTTGTCCACACCTGAATCTTGGCCACCTTTCTCCTCTGGGTTGTAAAACCCAAAATGTGGGCTCCGACCTGAGAATATTCCTCACGGTCTCTCACCCACTTCCTCGGCCAGTCCCCGCCTTTCTGTTCCCTTCTGACTGTCCAGCTGGGACTCAAGGCAACCTCCTTCAAATTTAACCACAGTGGTTTGATCAAAGATTTTACTTTTAAAACTTCTGTTCATAATGCACACTCAAATTTGGGTTCTGAACACATGGTTAAAACATAAAATTGTAATTGCCAGAAAGTCCACAATTTCATGGCCTATGAAGTACATTTAGTTGTGTAAACTGAAAGTACAGCCCATCCATATTGATGGTAGAGCTTGTGTTTAATGCTTTATGATTGGGTACTATGCATTTTCTATACTGTGAGATGACAACAAATTCTAAATTGTGTCACTCACAGAGAAACAAAAAATTATGCACATATCCCAGCCCTTGGTTCAGACTGCTGTGGAAGGATCCAGTATTGGACTTGAAAGTCATCTGAGAAGGGTGTGAGCTCTGTGTATGGCCCACTATCCACTCCTATGGGTTCTCTTGGTATTTCTGATACATTAGAATATATTAAGGTGAAAAATACACTACATGTTATTAAAAAATTGTACATCTCTGTAGTTTCTTTTATGCAGCAATTTCCTGACACCATTTTGTGTTCTGCTTATTGGATAGTTCTTCCACATGCCAAGCAATTACATCTTGAAACTCTTAGGGCAAACAAAAGTGCATAGGTTTTTCTTGAAAAATTGATAAATCAATTATGACTTAATTCAATAATTATTTAATGAGAACCTCCCATGAGTCTAACATGATATTAGTCCTGTGAGAACAGTAAGAGAAGTATCGAACATAATCTCTCTCTTCAAGGAACTGTGAAACGAAGAGACGAACAGAAGAGCACATGCAACCAAAGGTAGCCCAGCAAACACTCTGAGGAATGGGGAAAGCTCCATGCTAAAGCTGGGAGTGCAGGGCCTGCTCCTCAGGAAGGCATAACAATAGAGAGGACTGCACGTTAAAGTAAGAGATATCACTAGAACAAAATCTGAAATCCTATGATACTTACATAATAGGAAATTGGAATATTGATGTGACAAAGAAAAGTTAAACTGCAGGAAATTGCTCCAAGAACGGAGAACGTTCTTAGAGGAGGCTTAGAGATGTGCTCATGTTCGCTCTGCTCATGAACATGACCTATGCTACTAACTGACCTTGATGTTTTCTGCTGAGGTTGTTGCCTTCTTTTAGAAACCTGGCACTGCGCTGCAGAGCTTCTTTCCCATTGGAAACAAGGGATTCTGAGAACTGGAAAACAGAACAAGTTAAGTGTGGGGACTAGAAAGCAGAGTGGAACCCTGCTGGGGACAGAGAAGGCAACTCCATCAGAAGAGCCTGCACGCACATTCCAAACTAGAAAGTCAACTAGTTAACAGGTAGGGACAATTTGAAATGGTTGAGGAGAAAGAACACAAACACATTTTTTAAGTGTATAAAGAAGGAAACCAGCTATTAAAGATTTTCACTGCAGGCAAAGAAAAGTGTCTAAAATAGATATCGAGTAGCATCATCATTTTTGTTGTAAGAAAATGTAAGATTTCCTCATCTCTACAACACTAGTTTCTGTATAAAGAAGTATTTATGACCCAAAGAAATTAAAACTTCTATCACATGACAGTCATAAACAGATTCCACCAGAAAAGAACGCTAATAAGCATACATCTGAGCTACCGAGTCTTTGCTCAAGCACCTTATGGAACAATCTCCCCCAGCGCCCAGAAAAGGAAGCTAAACATTGAATCCCATGGGTATTTCTTACCAGGCTTGCCTCGGTCACAGTCCTGCGAGCGTCGGTGGCCAGTTTTTCTGATTCTTCAATCAGGCTCTGGATGTGGGAATGGATGTGGGCTGTGCTTGTCACATTCAGGGACATGTGTCTGACGTTTCCAAGGCCTCTATCAAATCAGTATATTTAGAGATATTATGATAAACTAAATCAAACTTTCAGATTCATTCACAAAAATTACAAGTGCCCACTGTTATTGAAAGCCTCCTAGTTTCTTTTCCCTTAGAAAAGCATCATCAGCGAGGAGTAATAACATGGATTCCTCTCTAACTCCAAAAGTAATCTTCGGGAATCAGTAGCCACATTGTCACAATAACACTTGGAATTGCTGTTTAATCAATAACAAAAGAAGAGGCTGTGACTGCTTCCTTTGGACAGCCATTCGTCACTTTCCACCAGCAACCTGCAACACCCCCTGATCTCTGTTCAAACAGCCTGCAGATGTCTGGGTGCCCCTGCAAGTCTGCATTCATTAGAATCTCCTCTGCTATGCATTTGTTAATTTTGAAAAGCTTTTCTAAGCATACGTAAGGATGCTGAATCTTATCCCTCAAATGGCATACACCAGTTTCATGAAATTCAATAGAGACTTTGGAAGAGAAGCAGATAATATTTCAATCATTATATGAACTTCATTATAACAAGTGGGCAAGTCACTTAGGACCGTGCCAGCTGGCGATAGCACAATTTCATCCAGCTCACTCTATCTTGAAAATGAGATCTTACAACCAACACATCTTTCCCTGCTGAGGAGCTCACTTCGTTTTCTTTCCAAGGTTATTGAGTTGGGCAATTCTCAGACCAGACATTAGCAGTTATTCCTTGTTATGATTTGACTGGCAAGATTTGGTGATATATAAATAAAAGACAATAATGTTATTTAACTTTGTGTATCATACCAGATTGCTTTTCCTACTCTTATACTAAGTAATAAAGATTTTGCTCTCGCTATGTATGGAGTCAGAATATCTTCTTCTCTTTTGAGAAATGATGAAAGATGATGAAAAGTGAGGAGCTGAGTATCTAATTCCATTTTGTTACTGATTCCTATGGCATATGTAGGCAGCAGTACTCAATTTAGCACATAATTTGTGCAATATTCTATTTTATATCATTTTTAATTGCTCTTGTTGTGTGAGCTAATCTTTTATGACAGCATTTCTCAAGTGGGGGGTATTTCTTTTTCTCCTTCAACAGAATCCACCCACACACAAAACACACATGTTCCAGTGTATTCAGACTTTTCCCACCCATAATTTATAGCAAATTTTAAAGAAAGAAATCTACCAATTAGCTCCCAGTGGTATATAAATCACTGATAAAACCTAAAACACGGGTTCCCACATTTGTCACACATTAGAATCACCTGGGGATCTTTAAAAAAATTATAAAGCTCAGGCCACATCCCAAACCAGTTAAGTCACAATCTTGGGGGCGGGGGGGTAGGCGGACAAAGGGATAAAGATATAAGTATTTTCTCAAGTTCCCAAGGTTATTCCCATGGGCAGATGAGTTTGGAACCACTGGCCTAAAGTTGTGCTTCTTGTTTAAAGGTCCTTTTAACAAATTGAGGACATATTTAACAGATATCCAAAAATATAAGTTAAAATAATGGTGTTAAAATGATAAACCTGCAGGCAGTAGAAAATAATTGGGAATAGTATCTTTCAGGGGTTGGAAAGAGACTCCCAACACTTTTATAGGTAGAGTGTGAGCAGCCACATCCTCCACTCGAATCATAAACTCCAAAAAGGCAAGATCTGTAAAGAAATCAATATCCTCGTTCTGTCCCACATACGACGAATCATAAACTCCAAAAAGGCAAGATCTGTAAAGAAATCAATATCCTCGTTCTGTCCCACATACGACCTAACAAGGCAGTGAGCACGCTGTGGATGCTTAACGAAGCCTTGACGGCTTGATATTGCAGCATACTATTTGTTTTAATTGCTACCCAGTTCAGTTCAGTTGCATTTTAAACAAGGCAGTGAGCACGCTGTGGGTGCTTAACGAAGCCTTGATGGCTTGATATTGCAGCATACTATTTGTTTTAATTGCTACCCAGTTCAGTTCAGTTGCATTTTTCCATCATACATTTATGCCAATGGCAAACTACATTAGCAGGGATGAGAAGGAACTCAACTTGCCATGTAAATAAGACAGGAGTCCTCATTTTTACACAAAGGAAGAAGAGTGACTCAATCCTGCAATCAAAATATCTATCCTTATTTTTTCTGATCAATGGATTGCAACTTCTGGAACTCCCACAAGGGTGGGGTCTTACCTGTCCAAGACACCGGCTAGTCTTTGTAGCTCAGCTGCATGGTCCTCAGCTCTGTAGACAAGGTCAAGTGCTCTCCTTTTGGACATCTGCATGACCAGATCATCTACATGGTGCCTGATTTTGGTGGTCCATAAAAGTAGCTCATCACGGTGGTGCTCTAACTGCTACATGGAGAAAATAATATTGTAAGTATACGCACATCTATCTAACAACGTATACATGTGCATATAGATGAGAGGTATGAAGATTCTTTGGAAACTGTACTGTGGCTGTGCAGTTGTAACTTACTGCTAGAGCGTTTTGTGCAGCATTTGCATGTGCAGTGGCAGCATCTACCAATCCTCTTCCTTTGGCAGTTAGCTCGGAGGTCAAGTTTTGTTCTTTTTGAGCATGCAGCTTTTTATCCTGCAGCAAAAATCACCTTTTAAAGATGCTTCATAAAAGTGAGTCAGCTTCTGAACTTCAGTGCCTAGTGCTACCTGCGGAAGTTAGCACTCAGGACTCCCTTTTTAAGAAGTTAAAAATGATATTGTTTACACTGGAGAGTTTGGTTACCAGTTCTAACGGAGGAGAGAGAGAGACTCACACTGAATTCTCGCAGGCTGGCGTTGACAATGAGCAGCAGGCGGTTGCTTTCCTGGGTCTTGGTTTCTGCTTCTCTCACGAGCTCTTCTGCTGCCTGCAGTTCACTGTGATGCTTTGAAAGGAGGCTGCTTGCTGCATCTTTTAATACCTCCAATTCTTCCTGTGGCTTCTGGTAATTTTTCTGAATTTGTGACAATAAATCTTCAGCAGCCCTGATAAGTATAAATAAGTATAAATAAGTAAATGAACAACAAAGCTTGTATCTCTGAAATGACAGTGGCAGGGATTTTGACATATACCCAGTTTCTTCTTGAAATTATAAGTGATACATCACAACTTAAGAATAGAAACAATTTTTCTCAGGCAGGTACAGGTACGGCAGATTCGAACTATATTCCTAACAAATTATCTTTATTCCCAAACTTCTTAACACATTTTAGTAATGGAATTAAAGCAAATCATCTCAGTGAATCTGGTTCAGATAATTGGGACTACATTCTGTGTTAATGATAAGAACTGAAATCTTTCATTATAATATGACAACAAATTGAAAGAAGGAGTCTATTCAATGATTTGCTATCAATTTAGCAATTTACTTATATGACATAAAGAATTTTCTGCAGCTAGTTAAGAAATGGGTTTTATATAGACTTTCGAATTCAAATTGCCAAAAAGATATAATTTGTACTGTTGATAAATGCAAGCTTTAGGAAGTCAAAAGATATTTTTTCCTATTCCTTTATAAATATGGTATCAAATTGCTTATTTAAATCAATTTTGAATTTATAGCTGCATAGAATAATAAAACTTCACACTACAAATCCTTGTAGTAGTTGAATATATCCCATTAACTCTCTGCTTCAATTTTTCAGTAGAACTTTGAAAAATTTCATGGAAAATGCTGTCTAAACAGTCTCTGTTTTCACAGATATCAGATCACTGGGTTAAGACACAACAGAAAACATTTTTCAAAGCTATATATTTGAACTCTGACAGCACTAGAATAGCATCAGGAGTGATTTGACTCTCTGTTTTCACAGATATCAGATCACTGGGTTAAGACACAACAGAAAGCATTTTTCAAAGCTATATATTTGAACTCTGACAGCACTAGAATAGCATCAGGAGTGATTTGAACATACTCCTGACTTTTAATTCTAATAAAGATGTTGTATTATGAAACAGGCAACAAGAACTAACACAAAATACATGGAAAACACACAAATAAATTCAGTATATTTCTACTGTCTGATCATGAATCTATCATTCCTTATCATTAAGTAAGATATCTAAGGAAGTTTAAAATAGAGGTCAAATTTTCATCTATGATATGACTTTACTATCTAAACTGTAATCAGATAAAATGATACAGTCATCGATGTTTGAACAAGATTAACAAACAAACAAAAAAGCCCTCAGCCCTCTTTATTAGCTTCTTCCTGGAACATTTATTCAATTAATGGAGTAAACCAGTGTTTTTCAAAGTGTTTCTCTACACCACCAGTGTCCCATGAGCTGCACTCCCCAGGCCCCCAGTAGATTCCCGATGCACTTCAGCATGCTAAAAGCTTTGAGAAGACCTGCAGCAAAGAACTTGTCCCCTTTTAGTAGACATTGCATTTCTCAAACTAATCTGGTCAAAGAACACATTCATTTAATTAAGTATCTTTTTTTTTCTTTAATTAAATTTCTTTTAATAGCTCTGGGGTCACCAGCATGGAAAACAGTTAGAAAACATAGCCACAAACAATAATCTACAGCATACAATGAAGGGTTAACACAGCAGGCCAAGTCGGCTATCCTTAGGAAGACCAGCTGGTGAGGCTGGCAGTGTGCCCCCTGTTCCCTAAGTGATACTAGTGACTTACTGGCACCTGCTTTCCTTCTAGGAGTCTGGAATTTTGGTATGTGTTGGGCAGAGGGCACCTACGTCACCAGTCCCCAGTGAACACCTTGGACACTTAATCTCCAGGGGGGCTTTGCTGAACAGAAACATCACACAGAGGCCGCTGTATTTCTGTTGCTGGGGGGAAGAATGTGCTCTGTGACCCCTCATGGGAAGATGCCTGCACGGACTCCTCCAGACTCCTCTGTGTCCCACGTTGCCATAAGAAACCTTGACTTGCTGTAAGTGCAAGTATATGCTGAATCCTGAGGGTCACAGTGGAATGCTGAATGTGGTGGTTCTGGGGACCCCGACACAAGCAGGAAGAGCTTGTGCTCATGTCCTCGGGCACTTGACAGCAGGCCCTCCTCTCTACGACGTTCCATCCCCAGCGCGCACTCTCTCCCTCGGCGCCCAACCTTCTCCCCCACTTGCTCATGCTGTGAATGGCATGTGGGGACTCACTTGAGTTCCAGGGTAGTATTGTCGTGCAACTGCGTGAACTGCCTCTTCTGTATGATTTCCAGAAAAGATGTCAGGTTCCGTTGCATATTCTGAAGAGTGGAATGGGGTAGCTGGAAATCTTTGTCCAAGGTCTGATTTAAAGTTGCTGCTTTTTCAATCATTTCTATGGAGAAAATTCACCAATTGTTTAACAAGTCTCTCAAAAGTGGACAGTACTAAATAGAAAAACCTGGAACCTTCTTCAGTGAGGACCTAAGCTTGGTTGGACCTCCACACCAGGCCAGGCTAGGCCAACACAACTATCCCAATGCACTCTGGACATCCCCTACCTTAACGCTCATGAACTTGGGATTACTAGTTTATTTAATGTCAGTCTTTCCAAGTGCCCATACATTCCATAGGGCAGGAACTATGTCCATCGTGTTTACCTCAGTATTTCCTTGTACCTGGCATAGAAGCTTCTCAATAAACATTAACTACATGAACAAGCCACCAATACTTGACACTACTCTTTTTATTACCCATTATACGTTCTAATAATTTCTATGTCCATCGTGTTTACCTCAGTATTTCCTTGTACCTGGCATAGAAGCTTCTCAATAAACATTAACTGCACGAACAAGCCACCAATACTTGACACTACTCTTTTTATTACCCATTATACGTTCTAATAATTTCCTCACCTTTTACCCTGTAAAATCTGATTTGCATTGGATTCTGTACTTTTTAAGCCCTTGCACTATAACCAAAAAGAAAAGCAAAAATATGTGTCTGGTAGCCAAAAACCTGAAAATAGCATGTCAAATTCCAGAGCAGGCCCAACTGAGAGGTAATTAAATTACTCTAATATGGTGGATATACCCGGCACCAAATTGAAGCCCCAAATCCTCTCAGCCCCTACTCTGGGCATGCACATCAACTTTACCGTATGGGGCGTGAGAGTTAGAATCTAAGTGTTAGGCATAATAGAGAACATAAAAAAGGAAACATGCAATTTTTAAAAGATAAAACTCCAGTGAAAGACTACAGCCTGGATGTGTCAGGATCCCCAGACTTGGGGTACTGCAGCCCGTTGGTTCGGGAAGCCCAGTGCAGGACACACGCAACTAGATACATGCTTAATAAAGTGAACGTGAACTTCCTGCCCAATAAGCACAGACTCCCCAAACTAGACGCTGCCCACACTACCTTTGACGTTCACCTGCAGCCTCTCAATAAACGTTGCCAGGTCTTTGCTCTCGTTGAGGATTCTCTCAGTTGCCCTATTCGCCTGTTGGCTACTGGTTAACATGCTAGTGAGCTGACGGAAAAATAAGGTCTCAGGTGAGTTTGACTTTAAATAACACGCAAGGTTTGGTATTCCAGCTGTTGCCTCTTTTAAGCAACAAAATATATTTCAGGATATACAGTAAAGATGTACATTATCATGTAAACCAAGGTTAATACTTCCAGTTGGAAATTAACTAGCTAATGAAATAATTTACTACTCACTCAGTGTGAACAAAGATGGTATATTTTTTAAAGTAGCACAATTGGCTATCGAACCACAGATTCTCCCAGTGTCTGTATTGTGAAGGCCATCTGTTATCCACTTTCGGATGCAAGTGTACAGAATATAGAAAGCAAACCATACTAATTTGTATGGTCTATGAGAGTCTAGCCTCTAGGAGTTAAGAACATGGAGTCAGGCAAACTGGGTTTTAGACCTGATCCAGCCAGGCCGTAGACTTAGACATCTCCAAGCCTTATCTGTAACAATGAAGTGATCATAACACTCACCTCTTGGGGCTATTACGAGGATTCAATGAGACGATGTCCATAAAGCCAGAGGCCCAAGGCTGAGATTTAGCTGTCCTCAGCTATTATTTTTATTAGGAATTTTATAATTTGTAAAAAGAAGGGTTGTCTGTAATTTCCAAGAATGTAAAGTAACTCAGAC